TGAGGGTGAGTGTTGGGAAAAATTTCAAGTCCTTCTATGAGACCAGAGTTTACTGCCCTATGATTGAACCAGGTATTTTTGGTCCTGTTTTTTACTGGCTAAAAAGGGATGACTTGGAAGAAGCACCTCTGTCTGTTGCACCTACTTATTTTACGAACTTTTTCTTTTTTTTTTTTTTTTTTTTTTTTTTTTTTTTTTTTTTTGTATTTCATTTTGTTTAAAACCTTTGAAAAAAATAATTTGAAATATTTATGTATTTAGAAAAACTATATTCTAAATTAAGCAAGAGGATTTGGTTTAAAAGTTACCAAAAATAGGTTACTTCGAAAGTATGGTCAATAAACTTTTTTCTTCAACAATTTATGAATTTCAAAAAAAAAATTATTATAAGAATTGGTTACTGGTTTTTATTTTCCATAAATACATATTTGAGAATGGTAAAATTTGCACTTTTAATTCCTCCAACTTCTTTGCCTCGTAGCCTTGGTTTCATTTTGGGGCACCATGTTTCCTCGAATTCTCGAACTACCTAAGAAACACATAAAATAAATAAATCCATAAAACAAAATAAAAACTAAACTAAAAGCAGAAAATTCGAAAATATAAGAAAATTCACATGCAAATGCTCAACATTTGCTCAATTCTTATGAACACGTTTTAGTGCACTTGCTTAGCACTAATATTAGGGTTAAATTCGATATCAAAAGTTACCTCTTTCAACCCTAATTGTTATCTATATTTCTAACTTTGTCGCGAATTCATTTAACTTGTAATTGTTTTTCAAAGTTACCCTTAAAGCCCTCAATTATCTTCCCCACATTTCTAACTTCGTTCAACCCACTTGAACACATGAATCACTCGTTAACGCTTACTAATGTTGCTACAAAATATGCTGCTTCATTTTGGGGAAACTTGATTAAATGTTTTCTTTTCTTCTAGTGCAAATTGTTGTAATTCAGATTCCATTTAATTTGTGAAATTAGGAATTTGGGCAAGATGGTCTAGGGGTGAACCCGGGGAGAGAACTTTTGACAAAATTATCGACAAATTGAATTTGGAGCAAACATAGAAGTAAGAGGTAAGAATGAAAGTTTAAATGGGTGACACGTCCAAAATACGTAACTTTTGTCGTCGAATCTAACCCAAAAAATGTATTGTGGACGAACACCGTAAGAAAATTTAGCAACATTAAAAACTAAAATCACGATCTCAATAGTTGTATGATATAAGGACCAAAATGGTAATTATTCCTACATCGCGTGTACCTTAGGTGACAATTTTGTGCATTATAACCAAGAAAGTTGACGGAATGACAAAAAGGTAGAAAAGTTACATTTTTAAGGACTAATATTGTGGCAAAAAAATTTCGAGAACTAAAATCATTTCAGGTGCTAATTAAGTATGTGGACCAAAAATGTAAGTTCCATAATATTTATAAAAATGAAGTTATTTATTATATAAATCTTAAGTATAACTAAATTGTTTAAAGGGGTTATATGCCAAACACCCTTCATTGAGATTTTAATTCTTGATAAATCATTTATTTATTAATGATATTTGAGATAAATCCAATGGGCATTAAAAACCATATATGCCCCCACTAACCATATATAAATCCTTCTAAAAAAATTATCTCCCTCATCACGCCAGTTCAGTTTTTTTTTTCTTTTCTTCTTTATTTTGTTTAATAGTTTTCTTTATTTCGATTTAAAAGAAAATTTTATAATTATTTATTATTAATTTTTTTTTGGTTTTTTATTTTAAATTATTTTTATTTTCTTATTTATATTTTTTCATGTTTTTTTTATTTTAATTTAGAAAATAGTTTTATTTTTATTTTCGTTTTTTCATGATTTTTCTTTTTTCTTAATTTCGATTTTTTTTTAAAATGGTTTTTTTTTTCTTTCCAGCTTTTTTAAATAAAAATCACTCTATAAAAACATGAAATCACTCTGTATAAATCGCTATATAAACATGAAAACCACTCTGTATAAAAATAATTATATAAACATGAAAACCACTATGTATACACAACTATATCTGTATAAACAACTATATAAACATGAAAACCACTATGTATAAAAACAACTCTATAAACATGAAAACCACTATGTATACACAACTATATAAATATAAAAACCGCTATGTATAAACAATTATATAAACATGAAAACCACTCTGTATATTTTCGAAAACCACTATGAAATTATCGAAAACCACTATGAAATTACCGTAAAATTCACTATGACATTAAAGTAATGCACATTAATATTGATGTAATCCACTACAAACTTATCGAAATCTGCGTAATTCACAACGAATTAAAGTAATCGACTAAAAACACAACAGAAAGTTAAAAGAAAAAAAAAAAACGAAATCCACTATTCCCGAACCCTAAATCGTCATCCATCTCCCATGGCCACCGACACCTCCCAAAAAATCCAGAAAACAAAAGCTCATTCATGTGCCGCACCAACCCGAATACCACCCAGAAATAATCCACTACAGAGTACAAACACAACAAGAAAACAAAAAAGAACAAAAAAAAAACAAAAAAAAAATCCACTATTCTTGAACCTTCGATCATCTTCCATCTCCCATCGCCACCGACGACTCCGCGAAAAATCTGAAATCCATTACAAGCTCATCATAGAAACCACTACAAAAATATAAAAATCTACTACAAAAAAATCCCCTTTAAAAAGAGAAAAATGACTCCAATTTTATCAAAATCCACTAAAAACTTACTTAAAACTTCAAACTCGGATTAGTTGATTGAATCCCTCTAAAAGTTCTGACATTTTTTTTTAATCTTTTCTTGTTGATTTAATTCTCTAAACACCAAAAATCTAATATCTCTTGCTGTTAATTAATTATTGATTTCATTATTAATAATTGTAAAGGAACAAATGCGCCAATGAACAACATCAATTGTTATCATCCAACGCTGCACGTGATACTGACATGCCTCATAGATCAAACTGAGAAGCTCTACTGATACAAAATTCAATACAATAGCGAAAATTAAATAAACTAAGATGCCACTATAAAAAAATCCCCTTAAAAATTTTACCTAAATCCATCACAAAAAATTTCATTTACAAAAAATCCATTACATATGAATTCTGACGCCGCCACATAATGTTGATGGTGTTCAATATATTCTCTCAACACTCTCCTACATAGTAATAATATTAATTAAACATAATATTAGAACAAAAATACCTTTCCGATTGAATTAATGTAAATCAAACATTATTTGGATTTTGTCGCTGGCGGTGGTGCGGTCGCCCCAGATTGGAAGAGGCATAAGAAGGGTTGTGATGACCCTGATCCGGAATTGAATCTCGATCCGGAATTGAATCTCCGTCGCTGGTTGTGATGACCCAGATTACGTTGACACGGTTTCTCTGTAATTAAGGGGCGCAATCGTGGAATTATATAAGGATGTGTTGTTACGATATAATAGGAAAATATATTACAAATCTTTTTTTTTTTTTGTTTTTTTTTTATTTCCAATCATAAAACATACGTTACTTTTAAGTTAGGGGTATAATAGTGATAATTTATTATTTTCTATTATTTAATGCTGAAATTGATTTATCTCAAAAAGTTCTAAATAAATTGGACCTATTGTAATTAGACTTGTGTAATGAGGGGCTTTTGACAAATAATCCCTTGTTTAAATTCTTGCTCATCAAACTATTACATTTAACTTGTTGTTGCATTAGTTATTCATATATATATATATATATATATATATATATATATATATATATAAATCCTAATTGTATATTTGTAAAAAAATAATTAATATATGTGTTTATAATTTTTTTATCTCCTATTTTACAATCATTTTTTTGGCTAATTATTTTTACACCAAATCTCCGCTAGCACAATCATAATCTACTACATCTATATTATTATTATTATTACTAGCATTTTTTCCCCGTGCGATGCATTTGTCCACAAGGGGGGCTT